ATCGCCCATGGCTTTTCGCAATTCAGGGGTGAGTGCAGGAGAAGGTGCTTCTTCCAACAACTTTTGGTTACGTCTCTGTGGTGAAGAGAACATATGGTTAGATGAGCAAAAATTACCAATTTTAGAGTTAAGTAAGTGAAAGAAGCAATCATAATTCCAAAATTCTGAGAACGCAAGTTCAGATATTTTTATCTTAGCAACAGATACAGAGAACAATAGCGTAGCAGATCTGGCAGCTAAATTTTAAGCAGCCAATTGTTTTTTTTGTTTTTCGACCACCGAGCGATAAATAATAAATTTATACTGGAAATGATACCTGGATGCTGCAGTCACGCTCACCAAAGTGAACCACATTACCAAATTTATCTGCAAGAATCTAAAATCCAACAGCTTTAGATGAGAACAGTTGATAGCAAACTAAAGATGTAAGAATAGTATTGCTTAGTCGAAGACTAGAAAAAAGAATAGGTTCAGAAACAGAATCAACAATCTTCTGAAATGGATCATCTTTTCTACATCCTCAATAATCTTGAACCAATTCTGCAGACAACTGTATACCTGGAACTCAATATGCCGTGGATTTTGCACGTACTTCTCCAGATAAACTCCATCATTTCCAAAAGCAGCAGCGGCCTCACTCTTTGCTTGCTGTAAGAAAAACAAAATTAAGCTGAATTCAAGGTTGTTAAAAATCTTACAGATCTTAATGGTATAGTGGTCAAGGGATATAGTTAAGATTATTATACTTCTATTTTACTGCAGTACCTTCATACAGATAAAGTTGTTCCTGAGCAATTAGAAATGTGATGCAGATCATAAGACTCTAGTTTGTCCAAGGTTTAAGAGTCTATGATACATTCCTATCAAATTTCTGAATATAGGAGGACATGAATGCGTAGAACTGTACTGTACAACAATCTTGCGAAAAAGCAAACACCGGCTATTTATGGATTTTTTTGCCTTAATTTTCATACCTGCAGCAATTTTACAAACTCCGACGGTTCAGTAGCAAGCCGCATTCCACGTCCACCACCACCAGCTGTTGCCTTGAAACATGAAAGATGCCAGTTGTGAGATTCAATACTCTGTTCAACATTCTAAAATGTACAGATATAGCTACCGAACAAAAAAAAATCAGTTGATGCCCATTTAAGAAAACCCTAAGTAAGAATCAAGGTAATCTGCAGCATGAAAAATAGTGTAAAACACCCAAATTGCTGCTTCAGGTTACCATACTTGCACAGAAAACAAAATAATTTACCTTGATCATTACAGGGAACCCAATCTCATTGGCGAGCTTGATTCCTTCTTCTGTGCTCTGTAATAATAAAATTCAATGCATGGAAGTTCCAGGGGACTTTTTGATATGACTCAACTTGAAATGCTGAACTGATTTTCCAGCGGAATACCTGCAATAGCCCATCACTCCCTGGTACAGTTGGGACACCTGCATTTTTCATCGTCTCTCTGGCAGTTGATTTGTCACCCATGACGCGGATGCTATCCGGCTGCAGAAATTAAGGAAGACATGCAGATGATCGAGCATTCTTTCTTTTTATTTTATTGTAAACCTTAATCAGATCGATTGTGCCTCCGTCTCAGAAACGAATTTCCCATATTCTGGAAATGTTTTGAAAAACTTACATTTGGTCCAATAAAATTAATCCTGTGGTCTCTGCACATCTCTACGAAAAGAGCGTTCTCCGCAAGGAAACCATATCCAGGATGAAGCATTGTACATCCTCGGCTAATTGCAGCTGACAGAACATTTGGTATCAACAAGTACCTGCAGACAATTCAGAATAAAAAGCTAATTTTTGTCTCACCAGTCATCAGGCATATGGACCTAGAATCTAATACAAAGAATGACAACAAGCGATCAAGCATAGTGTTCTGGCTAGCAGATTGCTGAATCTGGTACAATTTTGACATGACGATAAGGAAATGTAAGAGAAGTTGCAAGATCTATGTAGAGAAGCATAAATGTATGTCATACTAAGGAAGAAACTTACGACTGATTGCTGGGAGCTTCACCAATACAAACAGCTTCATCAGCGAGTTTGACATGCAGTGCATCCTTGTCTATAGTAGAGTAAACAGCAACACAAGGAATCCCCATTTCATGGGCAGTTCGGATGACACGGACAGCAATTTCACCTCGATTAGCCACAAGAATCTTATCCCCGCTGCTGCATGTAGCAGCGAGTGCACCAGCAGTCCTCTTGGCCTTCCGGCTAACCTTCAAAGTTTGCCTAGGGAAGCTAACCATTTTCCCCATCATGACATTACACCGGGAGCTTGTGATACATCCGGACCTCCCCAGGAACAAAGACTTGCATAGAAGAACAAATCATAATCAAGAAACTACACATATACATAACTAATGGTTGAATGAATCAGATGCAGTTATCAATCACAAGCGAAAGCGAATCCGAATGGTTAATTAATCCCTGGGAGGATGAAAAAGAGATTTGGTGCTTACGGGAGGGGAGGCAAAGGATTTGCAATTAAAGGATTTGCAAGTGGTAATGATAGAGGCGTCCATTGCTGCTGTATAAGCAGATCCTGTTTTACAAAGAAAAGACAGAGTCGAAGAATCTCTAGGGAGGAGAAACCGAGAAAGGTTTCGATGCAAACGAGGGAGGGAGAAAGAGTGAGTGATTAAATCGCCGGTCTTGTAGTTGTAGGCTCCATGGTTTCGGACTGGTGGACCCACCCATCCACCAAACGTTCACTAACCTCTTTAATTCTCTTTATTTTCTATTCTACCGTATCCTGTCATATTTTATTTATTTTTTCCTCAGCATAGCCAATTTCAAGGGTGGACATTCGGATACCCGCTTCAATCTTTTTAGGTTTTTAGTAGAGTAGACAAATTAACTGAACCGATACAAACCGAACCAATCAAAATCAAGCCAAAGTATATACACAAACCATTGGTTAAGTTTGTTCGAGCAATTCTATTCGGTTAAACCAAAAGTATATGAGTTATCCGAACAATTTGGAAAAAAACTACCTAAGTATCATGAAATACTCGAAAGTATTCAAATTAGCCGAATCCCGTATAAAAAATACCTTAACTCCTTGAAAATACTCGAAAATATCTAAATTACCCTAATTTATGTAAAAAGTAGTAGGATAGTTAAATTCGGATTTTTCAGGTAGTTCGAGTTTCGGTTCGGTTCAGATATTATCCTATATCCGAAGTACCTAACCCTTTGGATTTTTTGGTTTTAGAATTCAGTTTCTTTTTTGTCATCACGCAAATAAACTAAATTACCACAGCTCAGTTATCCAAGACGGTGGTGATGAGTTTACATAGAAAATTTCAGAACAAGCTACTCAGACATCATTCGTAAGCTTTGCCCACCCCTATTCTCATTTTAGTTTCTAGGTTTATTGCGTATATCACCTCCTACTAGTCATATAACTAAATCGCTATTTACATGAATCTTTTTACCTTTTTATAA